ACGATACCTCAATTTTGTTGTATATGTTTACAACGTGGCTTTCATTGCCGTGATCTGGAGTCCTAGTTAGTATAAGGCTTCCAATAAAAATAGAATCAAGCTATAGAGAAATATAAGTAAGTGACGAACTCATTTTTTGTATACAGACAAATTATCAAATTATAAGGAATTTCTTGAAAAGTTAAGAAATACAACTTCATTTTTCATTTACAGGAATTCGATCACAATTTTAAAGAAACTATTAATCTGATTCTTTTTTGCAATTTTTTCAACCTAATTGAATCGGTACTAAAGTTATCGTGTTCCCATACAAATTAATAAAGTGTTGCCACTTCAGGCAACAGGTGGTTGATGGTTTAACAACTGTCTGTCGTCCAATCTAAACGGTGAATGGGCCAGTAAGGAATTCGGCAAGGGAGTGAACTGGGAAAATGTTACGGGATGGAGGGACTCACTGAGTTCACTGAGATGAAACTTCGTCTACCTTAAAAATATAAAGCCATTTAAGGGGGAAGGCTCCGGTAAAAAAAAAACTTTTTTAATACTCGTTAGAAAACAGTTATTTCTTTACAGCTTTATTTAGATACATCCGCATATGCATTTCCATAAAAAAAAAATTGGTGGAAAAATCTTGGTAACTATGAAAATGGCGGCCATCTTGAAAAATTAACCCCTTCGTAGGTTTTCCACCATTCATAAAATATTAAATTTTAAGCCCAATAAACAATCAATTCATAATCTTCTTCCATATTTTGGGGTAATCAGCTAAAAATTTTAAGTGCATATCTTCAAACTAATTTTTTATGAATTTTCAAAATTTGTGTCCGTTCAAAACACTTAACTTTGGGGAATTTTGGGGCATTAAAACTAGTGTTTTTGGTCAAAAAAGTTTAATATCACTTGAATCTTGTGTCCGGTATTAGTAGGAAACTGAGCTTCAAAAACAAATGCATTCTAGTTTTTGCATTTTTATTGTAAGATAAATGCTGTAGCTATTACTATTGATCGTTTATTTATTCGACACATATACTTGATAAACAATAACAATTTTCCCTTCGTATATTTTAAATGGTGTATGTTAGATGCTGATTTATACAGTGCGATGGCTCCGAAATAATTGGCAAAATGACAGCACTGGAAAATTCACTGTTATGAATCTTTGTATACAGGTTTAAAGCGGAAAAACCATTTAATTTTTAATAGATATTTTTTTTATTGCAAGGTATTTTCTGAAAACCGACTGCAATATTTGGTTTGAAGCTATAGATTAGTTTTAATGAACAATTTTAAAATCAGAGCCATAGTCGTAAGATGGAAATTCTAGTTTTAATTTATAATTTATAATGTGTAAAGCATTGGTAAGATAATATTAAGGTGGTTTAGCTACGATCCAAATGCAAACTTTAACAGTGCATATAGTATGTATAGTATAAGGAATTAAGTAGGGGAAGAAACTGCGTAAATACACATGAGTGCACTTGAAAACAGCTCTTTATAGTAATTGTGTTGATTGTCTCTCTTGCCAAAGAAATATTGTTTTCTTACTTGGTTTCTTTTTTTTTTTTTTTTTTTTTTTTTTTTTTTTGGTAAAAAAATATCATTAATTGGTTAAGTGAATTCAATTAAAGAGTAGAATGAATACCATGTTTTATGTTTCATTGTCTTTGATAACAGAATTGCATCATTGTGCTTTTGAGAGTATTAATAAACGATTAGAATTTTACGACAGGAAAATATTTATTTTAACTATCTCCAGCAACTACTCAGTGTAGAAAAATAATCATTTGAAATTAATTTATTTTATAGAAATATTATTTTAAAAATTAAAACCAAAAAAATCAGTAAGGTATATGGATAAACTAAGACGATGATTTAATTTATGTAAAGCTATTATCTCAATACTAACATTAACATAGCATAATATTCAGTGTAAGGACTCAAGTAAGGCAAGTAACTGCGTTAATATAAAGACAAACACTTTGATGAAAACAACTCTTATAAAGTTTACTGTTATTGAGTTGACGGTCTCACTTTCCAGCAAAATATAAAAGCAACAGTAAGCTTATAAAGGTGGGCATGCCGAAAATTGTAAAAGCTATTATGTCATGGTAAACAAAGTTTAATATAACTTGAATCTTGTGTCGGGTATTAATAAAAAAATACAAAATCACTCTAGTTTTAGCATTTTTATTTTATTGATTTTTTTATTGTTTTTAAAAATTTAAGTTACTGCATTACAATGAATACAATTTAGAAGAATAGTAAGGAATCCATGTTTTAAGTTTCCGTGTCTTTTATAACAGAATTGCAGCATTGTGCATAATAGAGTATCATTGAATGACGCATCTATCCAATGTAGAAAAATAATATAATAAAATTAATCTGTTTTAACGTTGTAGTTTCACAATTCAGTATTTTTTGCATATTTTACAATGGGCTCCCGATTGGCTTCTTCAGTAAATGCTTTGCAAATGTTAAAACCAATAAAATGCTATTTCTAAGACATTAAAAATACCAATACAATCCAGAGAATAGTAATTTGGTATGTATAATAAAGATATATTGTATATATTCCAAGTACACACTGTGTATTAAGTGTATTTATTTTATTTGATGTATTCAACACCGTTTAGAACTGTAAACACCGAGGTTTTAATACTTAAACTTTTTAAAATAGAAACAAATCTCGTGGAAAAAGAATTGCACACCAAGTGAACGCCAAATAAAATTGCATAATAGTGAGCAATATTATTAGTACTTTATAAATTTACATTAGTTTAATGAGAAATCAGAAGTAGCGTAAATTTTTACAACGCAAATTACTCAAAATTTTACAGAAGGTAGAGAATTAGATTTTTTACATACATGTACAATTTCATTTATCTATCTGAAATATTACTCAAGTTATAGGCTTTTGAAAAATCCAAAGTAGAAAAAGTAACTCTTCCTGTTATCAGAAACCGCTCTAAAAATAATACAGATATACGATTTTGATAAAATACTTATATATGAAATTTCATCAACCTAGCTGTAACGGTACTCAAGTTATCGTGTTTACACACACAGAGACACACGGACATAATTGGATAATCCAGATTTTCCAACTCTATTACGCATAAAACGCCAAAATTTTGATAAAAGTAGATTTATAATTTTTGCCTGATTAAAATAATTCCTCTATATCCCGGATGTGATGAAGGACTGAGGAGTAAAACGGTGTAAACTGTCAAAATTTCATGTGATTTTTGTGCATGATTACAATACTTTTTCTATACTCTGTACACGACAAAGTAAAAAGCTGAATAAGTTTTCAAATGGCGGTGTCTAATTCAGTGTCTAAATGTGCTGGACAAAGTCTCATCAATTATTACAATTAAGAAACAATTGAAGAAGATACATATACCACGATAATTATTTGAATACAACACTGTATTTTCTAAATGCATATCATTAAATTCGGCACATGCACAAGCGATTGTATTAATTGTAATAAATAGAATAAAAATGTTAATATTTGAATGCAATTGTCAAGTTGAGCAAAAACACAAGATTGCATACGTGAAGGTAAATTATTAATTTACTGGTTTAGCACTGATTTAGAGATGTAATGAAAGAAAATAGAAGTCCAAGCTGATCTTATACTATAGACAATATTTGTGTGTTAAGTTGATTTTTTAAAGGCAGAAGTAATATTTGAATTATGTATTAATTTATTTGTTTCCGAAAACTGTGTTAACTTACGTTGCTATTACATTTTAAAACTGATAAATTTAAAAAAAAAAGCATGGTTAAATTTTAAAGCTTAATGAAAAATAAAGCTGCAATGTCCTTTTCACAATTTTAGAATCATTTTTTTAGCTAAGTTTAAATTTAATAACAGACTCGAATTCAGGAACGAACAACTACGATATATAAATTTGGACGTTAGTGTTTACAACTTGTCTTTCATTGCCGTGCTCTGAAGTCTGAACAGTCAAAGTGTACAGCGTGAATGAGTTTTTTGTTCAGCCTGTTGGGAACCTACATATAAATGTAGCGTAAACACACGTATGTGAATTACATTATCTCACCTGAGGGAAAGCATATATAAACAAAACACGGGCATGAAAAAATATACTGTTCAGAAGTTGTGAATGTAAGGCGCTTGTCTAGAAAATTGTTTACTTAATTTAATTTTTTTTTTAAGTAAGGATAATCTCCTCTCGGCACACGATGTATCGTTTTTACGCTCTAAGGGAGAGAGAGAGAGAGGGAGAGAGGGGGGGGTGGGAGAGAGAAGAAAAGAGATAAAGATAATAAAGAGACATTCAAGCAAGATTGCAAAAATAAGTTTTATGTTTTATTCGACTTAGAAAGATAAAAAAATGTCGAGAATTGTCAAAATCTAGGTGTCGATTTTTGGCACACTTACGATAATTCTTTCATACTCAGTATACGTGAAAATAAAAATCATATTTTAGAGATTGTTATTAAATCACAAGCAGGTGCTAGCATCACACCAACCTCTTTCAAATATTTCGCTAAAATATTAATGCACGTTATTTACATAATGGCATTAATGTCCAACCCTGGAGTAAATAATATAACCGTTTTACAAAACGTGTCTACCACTTTGATCCTTTTTAATTATATTTTAATTAAAACTAAACTAAAGTGTGGTCAGATTCTGCCTCCGCCCATTCTGTATGTTCATTTATTCAGCAAAGAATAATGCAAATTAATAAATAAACTAGTGTAAACAATGAGCAAGTAAAATTCCAATACAATATCACTTTGGCACACATCATATTTAAAATGTAATTATTAGTAATAAATCGGAATTCCGCAGTCCAAGGACTGCACAGGTAAGCAGACGCGCTAGTAATCGCTCGTTTTATAAAATGAATATACTCGACTACGGGTATTAAATAAACGATACTCGGTAGTTCTTTCAGAAAGATATCTTCCACTGAATATAAGCTGATGAATTCATGAGATCATTTCCCACCAGACGCTTGCAGCTCAGAGTGAATTGCTTATGTAACTGTTAAGAGCTCCAGAATGTCGGTCGTTTTTGTGATTTCAATTTTAGTTGTAAACGTCATGCTTATGCACGGTGAGTACCATTCAAAAATTGGCATGCATTGTACTTTATTGGAACGGTATGATTGAGAGATACAACGTTCGCCTATTAGATTGATAGCCAGATCGGATCCCGGACTCGAGTCCGTACAACGACTTTACCGAGCTCCGATGAGCATTTGACTTACGTTTGGGAATGTATGAGCAGCGTATGCGAGCTAAAGGTAACTAAAGCATGTATAATTTATTTACCTGCTCGAAAGTATACTTTACGTTTTGATTTTATTAATGTAGATGCTTTAAGGGGGCAGTATCACCCAGACATTTGAAAATTGTCGAAAACATTTGCCAAACAAAACCTATTATTTATACACACATAATTTTTTTACCATAATAGTAATTATCAAGGAGCTATAAAGCAGCACATAAAAGAAAGTTAACGTATGATGCAAACATTTTTTATAAATAGTTTTACCAAACAAAATTTACTAAGCAAATTTTGGCTGCGTTTTTCAACATTTAGGCCCTTCCTGCTGAAAATACTCTAGGATATGCATAGCAGGGTAGCCTATATCTGGAACTAGGAGACATCCATCGCGACAAATTTTGAAAGTTTTAGAATTTTTCAAAGTCAGACCAAATTTTTTTTCTTTAATACTTTTATTTGTAATCAAAACAAGTACATCAACATCTTTTTTTTTGACATAGTTTCAAATGAAAACGAAAGGTTTTGCACATGTACATAATGAATATTTACATGATGTCATGAATATGATTATAAAAAAAAATTACAAAGGATGACAGTAAAAGGGGTGAAGGTCAAATGAAAGTGTCAGAAGTCTGGGTGGGGAGTGGAAAGGAAATTGTTCAGATAATGTCAATGGGACAGTGAAGCATTTTCTATGTAGGGAAACAAATTAAGTTCACTAGTTAAAATAGTGTTTATACTGGTCGCATTGAGTTTTCAAAACGTTGCTGTGTGAAAGATGAGGGAAAAGAAACAAGATTTAGAACTTTAAATAAGTAAATGAATAGATATTCGAAATTGATGTTGGGGTGGGTGGTGGGGTCTTTGGAACAGTTAAAGGGAAAGTGGGGTTTTCATGTCTGAGGGTAAGTGGATAGAGGGGGAGAGGGAGGGAGGGGGTTGATGTGTCTGACGAGGCGTGGAGAGGGTGTTTGCGTGTTTCTAAGGCAAGCCAAGCGTCAAATTATGTGCTGTGTTATCTAACTGCTGAGGTGTTACTATTTATAGTGTGTGTGGGTGGGGGGGGGGTTGACGAACAGATTGAGCGATTTAGTGGGAGGGTGAAATGTTGGTACGTTCAAGTCGGTGTTTATGTTTAGTTGAATGTTTAGTACCGACAGGTTAGGGGTGGGTAGGCGTGTAGCTATCACGGGGTGTGGGGATACAGTGGAGTTCTATAGGTAAAAAATTGGTGTTCACATAAAAGAGTTGGTAAAGTTAACAAAACAACTGTAAGTGTTAATTTGGTGATAAAAAAATGAATACAAAAGGAGTAGGGGTCATTGGGGTCATTTTGTACGTTGTGGACCAAAGTACCGTACATATATGATAATAGTAAAATAGAAACAAATGATGGCTTTACAATGTTTGTAAGCTGTATAAATAAAACAATACACACAAAGCAACAATAGGAAACTGAATGGCAAATGATAAATGATGCGAAACAAGGTGTGGACATGGGGGTTAAGGGGTGGAAGTCACATTAATGTTGTTAGAAATGTATTTGGATAATACATAATTTTCAGTATTTAACATAGTATTTCATCACAGGTCATGGGGACGAGAGGATGCAGTTATGAGGGGAAATTTGATATTGGGATCATGAACTTTAGGGGCGGAGGGCGGGGAGGGTGTGATGAAAGGGGATGTTTGATAAGGCGGGCCAGGTGGCCAATGCAGTGTAATATGTTCTTTACTTTGTGGTGTTCTTAATTATGGTATATGTGTTTGAGTGCTGTCATTGTCGAGTCGTCTACGATAAATCAAGTCTAGTACGTCTCCCGTGAACTGTACCTTGTCGTGTTTTGCTTTTATTCTACTGGTCCAAATAGTCTGTCTATATATATCTACCGTCCTTGCTTTTTGCTCTAGGTCCGTCCTGTTTCTTTGTTTTGGGATTTTGTTTAGAGTTATGACTATATCAACATTGAAGGTCTCGTGTTTTGTTATTTTGGTTTCTAGCGTCTTGTTCATGTTTGTATGGCGGGGCATGCTAAATAGAAAAAAAATTATCCCTCGTTAGAATTTTAAGATTATGGCCCAGAAAGTTTCCAATTACGCAAGGAAAGTTCATACCAAATTTTAAGTACTTTACTTATGGTTTTGGAAAATTGTTTACAAAAAAATTCAAAATGTAATAAAATATTAACAAAAAAAAATGTGTTACTATTCATATATCCTACAATTTATATATTGTATTATAGCAGAAGAAACGATACTACTGCTGTATAATTTTGACATGTGTATGTTGAATAGTTTTTTTGGTGAATATTTTTGTTTACCTCCCTTAGTCTGGGTGATACTGCCCCCTTAACAGAATAACATAAAGTAGTACATAATTGTAGACGTATTTTGTTTTACATTGTTTTTCATAGCATATTTTTCGATTAGCATTAGACATGTGCTTAAAGTTCTTTACGTTTGGGTGTGAATATTAAAGTTTATACTAAAAACAACAGCTAATTCGTTTTATTTTCGTCGATACGAGCAACTATAGCCTTTCTAACCGCATCAAGTGTGGCAAATATGCTCTATCGAGACATACAGCACACATACAAATAACAGCAGCTACAGAATGACTTGTTGTGCCTATGGTATGTCTTTGTTGGACAAGAGGCCCCTTTATATTTAATAGAGCGTTTTATTAATTTACATTATTGTTATTTACTGGTTGCCAGTACTATGTTCAGTGGAAAGGGTTTAACAATATGAGTCAATAATTAACTCAGTGCACAGGTTTAACACTATTTAAATTTTAGCACACGAAGGTTAACATACAGTGTTTCTTCCTGACTTATTTCTCCGGGGGTGCACTTGAAATTTTCGGGGGGGAGTGGGGGGCGGCGGAAAACAATTTTCTGGGGGGGGCGGACACTGTCAAAAGTATATATTTTCTATATAAATTCCATTTCGTTCGGGGAGGCGGTAGACTTTCTTTGCCCCCCCCCCCCCTGAAGAGATGCCTGGACGAAACTTTGTCAACATAGAATAATTGACATAGGAGCAACGTTTTAGCTCTATCAGAGTAGCCTAGAATGGTCTCCTGGGCGGCGTGGTCTCACTTGCTCACACACGGATCTCTGTAGTGTCTAGGCTTTAGCCCCAAGCTAGCCGGCTGTAAAACACATTTGATACACTTCCTAACATCTGTGTGATATACACATTTATTCAGACTTCAGACACATACCATTTTACCATTGTTACAAAGATAATACATTTACATTAGCCTGACCAAGGACCTACAATAAACATTACTAAAAAATATCATTTTTATTTATACATTGTTTTATACACATCCCATACTTATTGCTCAAGTACAGTTAATAAAAAGAAGTGTCTATTACCTTCAAATGAAGCAACACAATCCTGTAAACACGTTTCCAAAAAGTAAGATTACTTTCTCAATAGAGAACAAGTGCCGTAGCATCAAAATGGGTATAATGTTTTAAGGCTAGTGCCTTAGCACAAAAAAAAACGTGTACATCTGAAGAGGGGACAAAGTAGAGTGACCGGACTGTAGCGTCCCTACCCTACAGGTCACATGACTCAGGCTCCGCCCCCGTGGCCGCAGTCTAAGGTCGAGACCCGGTCAGCCTTACGATACCGCTGGACTCAGGTCCAGGTGTGTACCGTTACCTGTGGGGTAGCAAGAAGGGGGGGGGAGGAATGGAGACACCATGACAGATATTAATAGTTTATCATTACATCTAGGATAAGGATTAACTTCCAAATAAATAATCTGAACATATGCATGCTCTAATGAATTAAATGTTAATTTATTCTTATTGCTAAAACAAAAATGTCTTCATGTAGGATGCAAATTAATAAATCTAAAGAAATATTGTAGACAATTGTTTTTCAGGTCTAGAGCTTTACAGTCTACGAGACGCAAATGATAAAGGCGAGAAAACTCTGTGTGACCAGCTTCACTGTGTGGAAGACGCAACGAGTGAAAGTGAAATATCATCTCTCGTCAACATGTCAGTCTATAGGATAGATGGAGACGTGAAGTTACTATTGGCCAGTATTTTAGCCTCAGATTCAAGGGTTCGAGATTACAATGTGGATGGGGTAGAAGTTGATGGTAAAATATCAACCAAGACAGTGGAGATGACAGTGTCGGTAACACAAGAGACTGGATGTCAGGATGGTGTCTGGGCTTGTGATGTTCATTACATCGATCGCACAGGTCACATAGGGAAGAGAGAAAATAAAACAAGTTCGGGGTTAAGAAGGCCTAAAAATGTGTTTTCGGACTTAAACAGAAAAACGCAAGGACAGTCTGAAATTTTGCTGTCTTTTAAAGATTTTAATCAAATTAAAGATATCGATATAAATATGAAGTTAAAATTTTCCAATTTTAACAATAACAATAATTATCAATTTGATAAAAGTTCATTTAATCAAGAAAAACAAAACGCTGAACGTTTAACTGTAAACAATAAAGAAGCAATAGGAAAACATGGTGAAAAAAACAAATCAACGAAACAACTGACAAAACAAAAGAAGCAGATAATCTATGAAGATATTACTACTAAATTTAATCAAAGTGAACGTTTAGAAAACAATGTTAACGATCTACTGAGAACTGTTAGTTTGCAGGAAGAAAAGATAAATAACTTTTCACTTTTATTATCGGCATTGAACGAGTCAAACAAAAATCAACAGGAGCGCATGGAGAAAATGGAACAAGAATTCACTGAAGAACTGAATCAACTCAAAGATGGGATTAACTTATTTGTAAACGCAAATAACACAAATGATATTGCAAATCAAAACATAGCCCTGCATAAGTTGCCACAGATTTTATCTACATTAAAAGTATCCAGTGCAAATGTAAACAAGAGTCTGGATAATTTAGCTCTAATTGTTAACATAATAGGTAAATATAAAGACAGATCAGAACTAATACAAAATATTTTGACAAATACGAACAATGACTATAGTGAAGATGAAATACTCAAGAAGGTGATAAATGTAAGTATTCATTTTATAACAATTTATAATCTTTCCTGATACTACGAAACAAATCCATTTTTTACATGTTACATCACTTATACAAAGGTATGATATTCTATAACCTAGGTTTTAAATGTTACTTTAATGAATTAACAGCGCAACACGCAATAATCTTCACACTTAAAAATTATTGATCAAAATAATATAACAATAATTTATATTTGTAAACTGTCATTTAATATACAGCTGGCATGTTCAAAAAACACAAAACAGTGCTCTAACCCCCATGAGATCCCTACTACAGACAATAAAAAACTGCTTTGCGACTCGGTTACGGATGGCGGTGGTTGGATCGTAATACAGGTCTGTAAAAGGTTGTTTTGTTACACTACCTAGACAGAAATATATTAGACGTTAACAAATAGCTACAGTGTGCGGGCTCATAAACATAACCAATTTACAAACATAGTTGTTCGTAGTCAAGAATATGCGCTAGAAAAAAAATCACAGAAATTCTCACTTTTCTTGCGCATTTCAGTTCTTCGCCCGTGTCTGATTTTTCGTCATAATGGGTTTTTAGCACATTAAGGTTGACCTTTTCTTAATTCAGAAAGTAATAACTAAAATGAGAAAAAAATTAATAGTTTAAAAAATTGTATGGCCCTATATATACACAAAAAATATTTTTCCAAAAGGCTATGAAATGCTTGACATCCGCCATCATATTACATATGGCAACATTATATAGCTGGATTTCTACGTTATGTGTTAGTTAATTTCTATCAAATCGGATACACCCTAAGCTTTTCACTGGATTTACAAATCACATAGAAATGATGTTTCCTGATCTAGTTTTTTTTCTTTTCTTTTCTTTTGTTCTTGTTGTTTTTACTGCTTTTCTCAGTTCGCAGATGTTTTACAATGAAGGTGTACTTTTATTATATAATAGAATGTATACCTTATTTGCAATAATTATTTTTCATGTTATACTAAAACTTGTCACGACGGAATTATGTTGGCTTTCAATAGGTTCTTAGACAGTTAAAATCCATTTCAAGCTGAACAAACCAATCAGATTTAAAAGATAGATCACGGTCTGTTGGTTAGTATAATGTGACTAAAACACACAAATATGTTTCAGCAGTCATCTTCGAAATCTTCAAGTATATTTCTTTTAGAATAGCTGAATAACAGTTCTTGATGAAGACAGTCTAGTCACGTTTATTGTAGATAGATTTAGTTATTCTTTGGTATAATTTAATATTTTTTTAATTTAGAAATATGCGTTTGAAAAATATGGTGAAATTGTGATATATTTCTGTTAAGATATCATTTGTTTAGTTTTGTATAGGGATAACAATTGTTATCTTAAACAAAATGCAAACCATCACATTGGATTTTAAGAAATGGTATCCCAATATATCTTTTATTATCAATAATATTACATTTTATCACATGTTGGATTACGCACAAAAAGATATCGACGATTGTCAAGTATCTTGAGATTTTTAAATGAGGCAAAAATAATCTTGAGAAATAACATTTGTTATTGGGTTTTTTTCATTTCGTGCAGAGACGTATTGGACACAGAGAATATAATTATCAGAGAATGGTTAATCAACATACGTGGGGCATCTACAAGTCTGGATTTGGTCATAATTCAGGTGATCTTTGGCTTGGAAATGATTGGATCGCAAGACTTACTTCAATGGTAATTGTTTATCGGATGTAATGTGAGCAGTTAAAGTGTTACTAATTTTTTTTTAAAGCGGGATAAGCCTAAATAAGCTACGAAATTAAACACTCCTTTAGAGACAAGTTGTATGATAAAGCTTTTTTTTTTCACAATATAATAATTGAAAATAGTTTTATATAATAAAAAAATCGTCTCTGCATTTAAAATATTTTGTTATCCTTAACACAATTAACACAGATAAATATATGCAATGCTTTTAAAAAAAATAAATGTTTACATTACTTGCTTAGTGTTGTAGAATTTAGAAACTAATTGTAAAAAATACGTACTTTTAATTGAGCATGTAAAAAACGGTTGACATTCTGATATTATACATCGATTAAATTGCACCTAAAAAAAAATACGTCCATTATGGAAACACAACATTGAAAAATAAATTAATTTAAACATTTTTGTTTATTATAAATAACTTACGTAAGCGTTGTTTTGTTAATAAATGTTCAGATTTGTTTTTTTACTTACGTTTCGCACATAAATTAACATTTTCCCAGGGTTATACGGACTTAAGGATTGAGTTGAAATATAAGAAAAAGCACTACTACGCTACATACAGCAACTTCACTGTTGGCAATGAATCAATGAAATACAAGATGAGCTACTCGTCATACAACGGGAACGTTTCGGACGGTCTGAAGGATCACAATGGGATGAACTTCTCAACATACGACCAGGACAATGACCAATGGCCCCACGGCAGCTGTGCTAAAAGTCACACAGGTGGTTGGTGGTTTAACAAATGTCTGACGTCCAACCTAAACGGTATCTGGGGCAGTTTGGAATTCGGCAAGGGAGTGAACTGGGAAAACCTGACAGGATGGCGGGACTCACTGGAGTTCACGGAGATGAAGCTTCGTTTGCCTGGATAATAATTCGTAGATAACTTTATACTATGTTTTGTCAGTAAACTATGTAATACTTAGTTATTAAATTGTGTAATAAAATTGTAAAAATATTTATCAAGAGTATTACGAAGAACTTCGATATCATTAGAGATAAATATTTTTTTTTAATAGCTTTAGGAAGTCTTCGTTTATAAGATAAGGCTCTTAATTTTAAATTAAATCTTTAGTAAATTGTATTGCAAAATATAAAAGCAGCAACAGAAAGCTTATTAAAGCGTATACAATGTAAAATTTATTTTATACTGATCAAACAAAGTTTGTTATTGCTTGGATCTCGTGTTCCATATTAGTAGGATACTCAGCTTTTAAAACAGATATAGTCCAGTTGCTTTTTTATGTAAATGTTAAACTATTATAATTGATTATTTATTTAATCGAAAATATACTCAATAAATTAAAATGATTTTTGTTAAATAGTATTTTAAATGGTTCATATTGTATGCTGATCTATTCAGGGTACTGTTTTCGAAATAATTTGGGAAAATTACAACTTTAGAAAATTCAACTTGAAAGTTAGAGTCGTAGTCGTCAGATGGAAATGGCAGTTTTAATTTTTTATTCAATGATTTGTAAAACACAGAGTTTGTCGTTTTAAATCATTTGTAAGATCATCTTTAACAGGTTTGGCTTTTATCTTAACGATAACATTAACAAAGTATATAGTATAATATTAAAGGTAAGGAATTAAGTAAGGGGGCTAACTGCGGTAATACACAGGAGTTACACCGTGCTGAAACACTGCGCTGAGTTGATTGTCTCTCTTGCCTTTAAAAAGTTTATTGTATTTTTTCAAACAATTTAAGTTATTGCAATTAAATAGCAGAATTAATACGATTTAGAAGAATAAAAAAGAAATAAAAAGGATAAAAAGAAACCATGTTTTTTGTTTCAATAGCTTTTATAACAGAATTGAAACATTGAGTATTATAAATGATTAGAACTTAATTTTAACACCTAGAAAAATGTTTGTTTCATTTCTATTCAGCAACTTTCCAGTGTAGAAAAAAAATGTAATGGGGTAGCAACTCTGATGGGTACCTAACTCACGTTAAGGAAACTAAAGGCGCCTGCGCATAGTGATGACCAAACTATCTCTTCAGTGGTCACATAACAAGTGAACTCTACTTCACTAGCCCCATAGACCGTCATAGACCGTCAGGTTTAAAAGGGAAACTATACTTTTTTAAAATAGGGGGTATGCTACAGATACAAAAATAAACATTTTTCAATACTAGAGAGCAAACAGTTTTTTTCTCTACAGCTTTTTTAAAGTACATCCGCACATGCGCTTCCATTTTTTAAACATTGTGGAAAAAATATGGGTAACTATGACAACGGTGGTCATCTTGAAAACAAACCTATTAGTAGGATCTCCACCATTCAAACTAAAGTATTATACTTTAAGCCCATTAAACAATGATTCATAGTATTTTACCATATGTTGGGGTAGGCTTACTCATCTAGTAATGTTAATTGCAGGTCTTGAAAATAATTTATTATGAATTTTTAAAGTGGGGTCCGTTAAAAATATTAAATTTAAAGCCCCATAATTACCTTACCACAATTTTTTTACCGGCACTTTCCCCATTAAAAGAATGTATTTTAAGGCGGAATAAAAGTTTATAGTAAATATACCAATTTGTTTATTTATATTTTATAATGTATACCCGCTTGACGTTTCAGTGTTTAATTAGTAAATGTTAATACCAATAAAGAGCAGTTTTTCTCAGTATGGAGACTTTTGTCTACCACTTAATAAAATACAAATAAAAATCACGAACATAGAGATTTGACATAGATCTATTACAGGTTTATTGTAAATGATTCCATCTACATGTTTAATACATTTATTTATCTATATTTGTTTGTAAACAAATTTGGATTCTACGGCCTTCAATCAATTTAAGAATGTTTGGATGTCAAGTGTGTTCGTGTGTGGTACTAGATTTAGGTATTTTATTTGATTTAGCACCTCATCACATTGATTTGAATTAAGCGAGTAGGCTCCGGAAAAAACGGGACATTTTTTTTTAATTAATAACAGAAAAATTGCTAAAAATATTTTTTTCCTTCAAATTTTCAATAATGTTTATGGTTAAAAACCACTAAATTTAGCATTAATTCCAATGAAATTTCGCCATACCAAATTTGAAAATTCAAAAAAAAAATATTACAAGAGTGTTTTCTGTTACAAAAACTAGCCAGCTGACTCTATTAGTGTTGGTACAAGAAGGATCAGTGGTTATACTGCCGATATAATATGTTACTTTATGAAATTTTAGAACTCCATAAAAGATTGTTTCTTTTTCAAGATGGCCGTCTTTGCCATGGCAACCATATTTTCAAAAAATGTCCCTGATGCTTGCAAATATTTTCCTTAAAGTACCCTAACTTATATACACACAAATAAATCAATACCATTTCAATTAAGAAGTTGTTTTTGTTTTGGTTTAACACGCATCTCTTGTCTCCCCTTAGTGTATCAGCAATACAAGTTGTTATTTCGTATATAGATTTGTGTTGCCTGTCGATCCAAACATCCATTGTCGCAAATAATAAATAAATGAAATAAATTAAGTAATGTGAGTTCGATAAATCGATTCGGTAGAGCGTTGGCGTTGTCGAATGGTAGTGCGTTTGACTGCTAAACCAAAATTCTCGACATTAGAACAGGGCCCGTAGGCATTACGGTGCTGTCCAGCTTTGATTGGTATCTGACTCATGTTAGGGAACAAAATACGACTGTATGTCGAGGTCCTTGAAACTGATGAACTCTACTTCCTTGTCCCATGTGTCTTGGGAAAGAACGGGAAAAATTGATGAACAGGATTCAGCTATCAGACTTAGTAACACGAAAAACTTATCAGCACTAACAAATAAACAGGAAAGATTTATATATGTTATTGGTTTTACCATAGAAAGAACACGCTGCAGTCATCATTGGTCACTTTAAAGCCACATTAGTTGTTACTATTTATGTGCAAAGATTTAAGGCAATAATTGAGAAATATTTGTTTAATGTTTTTCTTAAAGTTTACTAGCTGCAACACATGAGAGTAACAAATATATTACGTGCAAATATATGAGAAGACAATCTAGCCATTAAATGTAACAATGTTTGCATGATCAATTATTTAACGTGAAATACATCTGATCTTTAATTAGTTGAAACTACGCAAGAATAAAATTTGATGTTTGTTGTTTCGTTCTTGAAATAAGGAAGTTGTTTAAAATTTGTTTTGTATATTTGTTTGCAAATTAAAAGAATTTCAAAAATACGTATTTTAAAAGTAATATATGTAACTATGAACATGATAAAACCCATTTCAAATGTAATATTTCTTCATGGTTTTAAAAATTAGCTAAATGTAACATTAAAGAAAAATATAAAAACTAACCAAAAAAACCAAGCATCAGTGCAGTATAGTGATTCATTATGTTATACATTATCATAATACATTTATTTCGTGCAGTTAAAAGAATGTATTATACAGTAAATATCACTTTGCATTTAAGTATTTTATAATAGACAAAATGTAAACTTATTATTTTATTTTAAAATATTCAATATTTACATTTCAGACCCAGTAGCACTATACGTAGATTGAATGAATTAGCGATAATAAGGATAAACTATATATATATATATATATATATATATATATATATATATATATATATATATATATATATATTGTATTTTAATTACCAATAATATTTGCAAACACATGATTAACATAAACATACAATTTTAAATTGATATAATTTTTAAAACCTTTGTTTTAATATACAAAATACATATCAAAACAAAGTTATACCATGTAATAGTAAAAACCTAAAAAAATTACTGTTCACACATAATTAGCATGTAAGATCAGTATAATTATTTTACAGTAGTTACAAAATAGATAACATATATAAGTGTGTACCCTGTGTCTGTATTTGTATAATATTTGTATTCTTTTATATAATTTTAAAAACCCATAGTGTGCAATTTTTTGTTTATACTTAAACTGTTAGTTTTACAAATACATTTTGATAACTAAAATAGTAACAAATTATTACATTTAGTAAATTAAGCTGTTGAAATAATTATATTTCCTTGAAAACGAGTCACTCAACATCAGGAAACATACTTGAAGCTACACTCTCTTCATAATTAGGTCTGACATTAATGGGTTCAAAATGTGAATGCCACTTTGCTCTTAAAAATGGATTACCTCTCTTCCCCGCAACCATTTCTTCATATGGGAGATTATAAACACCACTTTCAGAACTACTTCCAATTGCAATGTACCCATCAGTAACAGACTTTAGGTCCGTTTGGTCAACATTAACAGGGTCTAATAAATCCCAGTTATCATCATCTTCCGCAAAAAAGGTTCGCGAGGTGGAACCAATGGTATTTACTAGGCTGAATTGTTCTGGCATTGCAAATCGTGAAATATTATTTTCGGTATAGCCTTCAGACGAATTTCCCTCGTCGCTTTTTGAAGTCGATAACATCGATGGAGGATATTCATAGCTTGACGTGTAAACTAAAGAACTTTAAAAACCATTAAATTATAATTATTTCTGAAAAATAAAGCAGGAACTATCTCCCCCAAACTTTCTCATATATTTATGTAAAGCAATTAAGGGGATGGCACTTTTAGTGCGATCGTGTAATAGAAATGTTTTTTCATTAGTTATTAACACGTAATTTTTAATTTTTTAAATAGAATAGTAGAAAAAAAAACATGAACGCAAACAATGCGTATTAATTGAGAGGGATATTAGTACGTTATTAACAAAACATGTATTAATTTAAAAAAACATTTTATTTCAAATTTCATTGTCATTGAGTCTTTAAAAAAGTAAAGATTCCTCTTTAGACCTAACGACCCATTAGTCAAATGAAGTGGAGTTCATATGTTTCTTGACATCGCCATATAAAGGGATAATATGGTCAGCACTATCCCCAGCCACCATTACCTTCCCTAACACGAGTTAGGTACCCATCAGAGCTGGGTGGACTCAGGCACGTTCCACTAACTTGAACCTGGATTCGAACTCGATACTATCGGGTTAATAGTCTATTGATCCACCGCTAGGCCACGCCGTCCTATCATCGAGTCATACCCATGTGAAAAGTTTGAAATAATACGGTCCAGTGGATGTGATATATTTTTGGAAATGGAAAACACCATAAAGTACTACTTCTGATATCATAAAATTACTCCAAAGTTAACGGAACCAACAAGAAATGATAGTATACCTATGTATTGTTAACCTTTTGTGAAAATGTACTATCATCATTTTGAAAACAATCGGAAATAGAGTAAAATACCACTTCCGTTAATCGGAGAGCTCTTAAAAATTTACAACAATTTAAGTATAAGATCTATTACTTATATATAAAAGCTCTTTTGCCTAACTCAAACAGTACTCATGTTACAGTGAGTACATGGGGATAGAGTAAAATAACAACTTCCGGTTACCGGAAATCGTTCAAAAATTTATAGAATACTGCACTTGCAATGTAATATATAGAGCATGGAGTTTCGTCCAACTAGCTTTAGCAGCGTTCTAGTTATTTATTTTTGATGAAAAAGAAGAAGAGTAAGCATCACATCCGTTTACAGGAAATCGCTCAAAAGTTGACAGATATATATGATATATTACTTATTTAGGAAATGTTGTCACCATTAATGAAACGGTATTCAAGTTATCGTGTTTACAGACACAGACGAATTTGCAAAACCGGAAAGGTGTAAGTGTCAAAGCTTGTCAAACGTTCTATTAAGATATCTTGCACGATTACAATCCTTTGTGTTCTATATATGATAATGTAAGGAGTTGTAAAATGAAGAAAACTGTCCACATGTTTGTTAATTATCAAGCAAGATTACAAAGTTTAGTTAATAAAATTTGAATCTATTTTCCGGTACAAATTATTAATAGGATACCATAATAAGAAGTTATAAGCTTAGCTTTACCTCATAAAGTCTGATAGTGTAGGTCTTAGTTTTGGATTTACATCGAGTGCCCGTTTTATCAAGTCAAACAAGTTGCGAGGCATACCGTCTGGCACATTTTCAATTGCAGTATCTATGTCATTCTCCTGGCAAATTAATATAAATTTAAAATTAAATACTGTTAATTAACTAATTATTTCTTTTATTTATATATGTGTTCACAGGTTTCCTAAAAAAATAAAAATAATGAATAAAATAATATGAATATACTACCAATACATCAGCAAGTGTTTCCATATCGCGTTGCTTTTCAAAAACCTCTATTTTATCTGCACCACGTACAGAAGTGATAGCGAAGTAGGCATCTAAAACCATAAGGGCGAAACCGTATACATCGCTTGCCTTCGATTGCATGCCCTGATCTCTCCATTCTGGCGCTGCTCTAAAATATATATCGCTAAAAATATGAGCGTCAGCTTTAACAGAAGATGTATTAAAATTTCGGTAATGTGTCACCCTTTCAGTCATTCAATCTTCAGATACAATTTACTTTAACAGGATGAAATGTGTATTTCACAAAGGCATTTTGATTGTTGTTTGTATGGAATATAAAAAAAAATCAACATCTCGAGCTCAATTAATATATTTATTAGAAATCACATTCAGATATTAATAAGTATTTTGTTATGTATTATAACAACGACTATTTATCAGAGCAATACTTAAAGGAAAACTATAAATTCTAAATTCGTCTATCATACTACAACTTCAAAAAATTTCTTACTCTTTTATTTTTACGTATGCGTTTTTACAGTTTGTTTTAATTTATTTGAAATTAAATTACTCAATTTAAAGCAGACACGTAAACAAAGAAACGATCTTGTGAATATGATACTATGATTATAAACGATGCTTCAAAACAAAACGTCAATATACCTTGTGTAGCACACTGTTTTAGATGGAATATTTGTCACAATTTGACATTGATTTTCTCCAAGGTAATTTAGATACGCCAAACACACTGGTCTTATCTGAATAACATCAAAGATTTGAATTGCTTCATAGAAATCATTTTTAAATAACATGTATTGAAATTATAAACGTACTACTCTTGAAAATAGTTCGAATACAATAAATGTTAAAACTTACTTTTGTTCCTGAATCATCGCTAAGCTCAAGAAACAACTGCGATGCCCTGATGTCTCCGAGTACAAAATTTTCTGCGTGTAGCTTGTCAAGCATTGCGGCTGCTTTTAGCAGAAAATTATTACAAACCTCACTGCTACCTCCAAACTCTTTGTTTAATAATATCTCTAGCAAATTCCCTTTTAGATTGTATGCAATATTGACATCCTGCCATAGATAATAGTTAATTATATAAAAACAATCAAATGCATATTCGAAACTATTTCTAATGTACCATAATATACTATAATCTTGGTGAATTTAA